GATTATGCATGGTAAAGAGCAGGTAGAGAAAGAGGTACTTTTCTCCCTTTCTCACAATACAAGAACTCGTGGGCACTCCATGAAATTGCTGAGCGGTCGGGTTAGAACGGATAAAAGGAAGTACTTCTTCACCCAAAGAGTGATTAACACTTGAAATTCACTGCCACAGGAAGTGGTGGCGGCTACAAGCATGGACGGCTTCAAAAGGGAATTAGATAAGCATATGGAGCAGAGGTCCATCAGTGGCTATTAGCCACAAGGTATAGATAGGGACTCTGGGGAAGTGATGCTCTGTCATCTTGGTGCTTGGGGGGGTCAACAGTGGGAGGGCTTCTAATGTCCTGGCCCCACTGGTGGACCTCCTGATGGTACTGGTATTTCTGGCCACTGTGTGATACAGAGTGTTGGACTGGATGGGCCTTTGGCCTGATCCAACATTGGCATCTCTTATGTTCTTATGTTCTTATGTTCTTATGATAACAAACTCCGAGTGTTAAGTTTCCTTTCGGCCCCCCTATTTCAACCCACAGAACCTCCAGAAACGAATCCAATTCTCTTAGCCTCTCAATCTTTCTGGACTTTATACCCTCTCTGACATACAGAGCCACCCCACCTCCAACCCTTCCCCCCTATCCTTCCGATATAATATATAACCAGGAATCACCGTATCCCACTGATTTTCCTCATCCCACCAAGTTTCTGAAATACCCACAATGTCTATTTTTCCCTCCGACACCAAGCACTCCAACTCCCTGATTTTACCTCGGACACTCCTAGCATTTGTATAGAAACGGCTATAATTTCCCATACAAGTTAAGCCTGCCACCTTCCTCTTGCTATCTCGAGACCTTGTCAGGCAGTCCATGTCACTAGCCATGGTCTCAGTGGACAATTTCATTCCACCTCCCTGTAGAAAAGCAACCTTCCTTCCCTTATCCTCACCCAGATACTTTCCACGGGGCTGTCATCCTCCCCCTCCAGTATTTCTTGACAAACAAACCTTCTCCTCACATACAGTGTCGCTCAGCCTCCTCTTTGAC